AGTCCCATCTATTTATCTTTGCCTTCACTATTGTGGCGTTGGGTGCTCTGTCTTTAAAGATGTCGCTGAAGTGTATGTCTTGTAGTGTTTGACCCATCTTTGCTTCTAGGTATTTTATGCTTTCCGTTCTTATGTCTAGGTTCTTGTTACTTTTTTAACACATAGGTGTTAAAATATTGTTCAACCTTTCAGATGAAACAAAAGTTAAAGATCTCAGAGAAAGCTTTTAAAGAAACTGTAGGTATTAGTGCATTCATGTTTCTTGTTTCAAACTCTCTGGAGAACAGTGATTCTATATTTTGGAAAAAATGGAACATCATTTAAAAAATTTTTAAATAATACCTAAGAAAATACAAAAAGAAACTTAAATAATCCTATTTTACACTATGATGAAATACAATCAGGTAATTTCACTACAGTGAGTTCTGTTTGATGTGGCATTTAAATGACAGAAACAATCAGGTGGGAGTGTGAAAATGCAGGTTTTTAGGCCCCATCTTAGATCTAATAATCAGAATATCTTATGTGTGGTACTTAGCAGACTGTTTTTAAAAAACTCTCCAGGTGATTCTTCTACAGTTGTAAGTTTGGTAAACCCTGTTATGTATTCTAAAAAGCTGTATAAGTATACAGAAATAGTTTTATAAAAGCTGGATTATATTCTTTGTGTTATTTTTAATGATTTATTTTTGCTTGAATTTAAAAAAAAAGAACTTGAAAATGAAGGATTTTCTGAATATCAAATAAATGACTTTTCAGTGCAGGAGGTATGAATTAAAAATATATATATGAAGAACCAACAAATTGAACATGTTATTTTTTAAAAATTTGACATTTTAGTTTTCATAGTATTGTCTATTGATATCTCTAGAATAAAAGATGAGGGAATTAATACTGTTCCATTTTGTCCCATCTTCTGCTTTTCTTTATTTACTTATTTATTTTAATTATTTGTTTATTTATACATATAGAACTGGGGCACAGGTCAGAAGTGAGGGGGGTGAGAAAATTCACCAGAGACAGAGAAGGGAGCAGAACAGATAGATGTACTGAAATATGCTGCTGAGGGGAGCAGCGGGTGGGTCAGGAGAGGTCTCCCATACCATGTGGATCACCTCCCTGGCGGGGAATCAAACTCATGCTAAAGTCACTGTGATATTCCATAGTGCTGTGCTTTAAGCCCTTGTGCCACCAGGGAGGGCCAAGTTTTCATTGATTGTTTTTTGCTATTGTCAAGGTTTCAAACATTTATGTTCTATCTTAATTTGTTTATAAAGTTCTGCTTTTATATTTAGATATTGTTGTCTGCTTTTATATTTAGATATATATAGATATTCTATATGATAGCATCTCTGTTTCCTGAATTGACCAGTTTCTGGATTGATGGAATTTTAAAATGAGCTAATATTTTCAAGCTACTAATGCTATATTCCTGAATTCTTGCATACTGTATTACTTGAAAATATTTGTCACTTATGTTTATAGTTGAAGGGTATTTGGCTAGGTATAAAATTTCTTGGTTACAATCTCTTCTCCCTCAGAACTTTGCAAGTATTGTTCCAAGATCTCTTAGTATTTTTTTGATTGACTAGCTTTCCTTTTCCATGTTTTTTCTTATTTCATCTAGAAGGTTTTATGAGTTTTTTTTGTTTTGTGTTTCAATGCTTTTAGTCCTTTGAGAATTTTTGCCTGTTTTAATTCCTGAAAAATAGCTTATCAGGGGATGATATCCTTAGGGAACACTTTTATTAGAACTCTATGGTCATTATATTAGAGCATAAAGTGTAACTGGTAAAGTCTGATTTTTCTAGATGGTGATTTGCTTTTTCATGAAAACTGACTAAAATTTTTTTCTTTTAATCTTTGAATTTCAGTAATATAACCAAGATACATATATAGGTCATTCATAATCATTTTTCCTGACTCGCAAAATACTTCGTAATCTGTAGATTTAGTACTGTATTTAGGGGCATTTTCCTTAGTCATTATCAGAAGTTTCTGTCAAATTATTTGATCTTTGTGACGCCAATTTTCATATTTTTACTTTTCTTTTGCTCTCCATATTTTAATTATTTTGATTTGTCCTTTGTCTCTGCATTTATTTAATTACCTTAAGTCTTTTTTTTTCTGTTAGTAATCTGTTTCTATCAGTTTCCATTCCTGTCTTCATGTTTTAAATTAATTAATTGGTTAAGTAATGCTGTTGTATTGCCTTTAACCTTATTTGAGGATCGTAAACTACTCTTTCATATTATTCTGCTTTATCTTGCTTTTGAATTTATTATTAAGGTTTTGTTTGTTTTATGTTCTTTTTTATGATGAAGCCCAAGAAATTTGTTTTTTTGGATTCTTGGATTATGTTTATTTCTGGAATGGGTTCTAATCTAGTTGTATGCCCTATTTATTTCACTTTTTTCCCTTCCTGCCCATTATCTTTTTTTGTTTCATATGAGTTATGACATATATGCCTAGTTTTTTTTTTTTTTTATCATGTTAGTGCTTGATACTGGCAACTCAGAGAACATATATTGATAGTTACTCAGATGTATAGTTGGTGAAATCTTTTTAATATCCTACCTCTCTTACCTAAATTTGTTTTTGTTCTGAACCCTAGTTTGAAATCTGAGTATTGCTGGGAGCAACAAGGGGAAAGCAGAGACAAAATGGTGACTTAGAGAACCAAATGAGCAAAATATATTTTAGGCTCTGCTGTTGCATTTCATACCTGTTGACATCTTTGAGCTTCAGCTCTCTTACTTCATTTTGCTGTGAATTCTAGGAAAGGCACATTCTCTCGCCCCCAGTGTGTAGCTGGTTAGAAATTTTACCATTAAGCATTTTTTGTTGACTTTTCCCTATACTACTTACTCTACCCTCAGTTCTTGCCATTTTGAAAGCTATTTCTGATAAGGGGATTTTCTAAACTGTTTTCCAAAAAGCTCTTTTTGGGGGTAAGCACAGAATGAAGAACTTCCATAAGTCATGTAGAATTTTATTCCTTCCTTTGACTGTCATTTAAAAATTTGTGGCTGGAGGTTGTATATTTGATTACTGCTAATAAAATTTTGGCTTTAAAATTGTTGCTTTTTAGGTGTTGAAGAAAGGAAGGAGATTCTATAATCTAGATCCATTTATTAATCTTGGATATTTTGAGTTGGATAATTCTTTGTTGCAGGGACTATCTTACTGTGTTGTAGGATAATAGCATCCCTGATTTCTCCCCATTAGATGTTGATCGCATATCCCTGGTTGAAAAAACTTAAAATACCTCCAGACCTTGTGATATATTTCCTGGGTAGAAAAATCACCCTGGAAAAGAACCAGTGATTAACTTCATTTTCTTATCTCTACTTCTAGAGCATCCAAATTTTAAATGGTTCTTTTCTTGTATGGTTTATTGTTATACCAAAGACACACATCAGATTTAAAATAAAAACTATAATATATTCTTACAGTTCAACTTATTAATAGACAAAAGTTAATTGTAGTACTTAAAAGCTATTTATATGAATAGAAATCAGTGATATTAAAACCAAGAAAACAGCCTTATGTACAATATAAAAATTTTATATGATTTATTTAAAATAAATTTTAAAAGCCTCTTTAAATGACTTACTTTAGTTTGAACTGATGATATTCTCACTAGAATTACTTTTTTCCCCTCCTTTGTTAATTAAAGTCATGTTGTTAGCTAAGTAAGTGAGGCAAATTCTTATTGGCAATTCAGTTGTTTCCTGTTTATGAGACTGACACTCTCTAGTTCTAAGCTAAATAATTGTCATGGTAAAGTAATTTCCTTGAAAAGGACAGGCATTGATTCAGCCCCTGTTACTCACAAATCCTATTTCAGTCAAATTGGAAAACTATTAAGTTTTTGGGAAAAAATCAATAGGTATCAGGAAACCATTAGATCTTGTGGCCCTTGCTATATCTTGCATGAGTAATCACTGTAAACAGCTGACAGGTATTTCACTGTTGACACAGAGTGATGCTTGGAGGACCACATCTTGTCAGGGTTGGTGGACAGCTTCAGACATTGGAATGAGTTCTGTTATCCTTGTTTTTCCCTAATATTCATTCTTTTAGACAGCCCTGTCACTAACTGGACCTGTGATGGTTTGAAAAATCAAATACCTTTTTTTGCTGTCAGTTTTCTTTTTCTTGTGTTGTGGCATACTAATCAGGGTGTGTGGTTTGGTCCTAGCCAGTTTCTGTTAAGAACGAGTTCTTGTTTCTGATTTGGAAACTACTTTTACTCAGACCCAAATTTTATATCAGTATTAAACAGTGTAATGCCATAGAGAATAATTATACTTTTTGTTCTTTTTCTACTATAAAACCAGTAGACTTTTAAAAAAATTTAGAATTATTTAGAGATAATTTGGAATTATCTCTTTCATTTTGCTTTCCTTGAGAGCTATAATTCATTATTTGTGAGCCATATGATTATTAAGCAGAAAGAAAATAAAAGTCCTCTGTGTACACAACCATATCACCTACATTATTTGATTGTATCCGTTCGTAAATTATTATTAGTTTTGGCAGAAGCTAACTGTTGGGTTTGCACTGGATGAGTTGATCTGTTTGTTTATTTACTTATTTATTGAGAAAAAGCAGAGAAAGGAAGAAATGAGTATCAATAGTTACAGGTTCTGTCACTAATTCCATAAGAGGATTAAGAACTCATATTTAATTTATATATGTGTTTGCTACTTATTCCATTGAGACAACTTAGAACATGGATAGGATTTTGTTTTCAGTATGAAGGGATATTTTTCCTTTATGAATATTTTATATTTCAGGTGCTGTGGCTTCTATGTTTTGGGTTGATGCTGAATTAGGGATGGATATTTATCTTGATGGTAAGTTACAAAATGAATTTTCTTTGGTTTTCAAGTAAAATTTTATTTTTATGGTTAAGATCACTTTTGTTCATGTTATAATTCTTATTCCTTGTATATCTCTTAATATCTGTTTGATTTCATGATGAAATATTTGTTCCTATTGACCCTAGGACCCAAATAGTGATAGGGCTAGATGTCAAATCTTAGTACTAATTTAGTGCCTTAAGATTTTCCTTTTAAAATATGCGTATTTCTTATATCCTCAATTATTTGATTTTATGCACTTAATATATTATAGTTTTTATTTTAATTAGCCAGACAATATGAGGATCATATTTCTGTTTTCAGTTTCCTTGGAGAAAAGAATTAAGCACATCCCTCCACCTTTATTTACCTTAACACTTGCAGGCAATCTTATTTATAGACTTCACTTAGGATATGTTAAATACTTTCTTAGTTCAGCAACCAAGTTCCCTCCTTCTCCACCTCTTCCCTTTCTTTCAACCTGGTCTTTCATAAATTAAGGTATGAAATTTAAATCCATTTAGTTGAACTCCTTTATTTGGCACCCATAATGCTAAATTCCTTAGGCCTCATCAAATATTCTGCTGGTACTCTTTGAAAAAATTATTTAGCATATAAATTCAGAGATTGTGAAATGAAATAATCATTAGGAAGCTTAGGTACATGCTATGTAAAAACTTGTGTAAGTAGACTTGGTAAAAGATGTAAGATATTCTAAAATGTCAGATTTATTAAATAGTAATTTATATATTAAGAAAAGTCTCAATTTTGATTTTTGAAAATAAACAATAAATAACCCATGTCTTATGTAATGTATCACATTCTACTATATAATGATATTTGTCTTACCATATTTGGGATTGTAAGCTTTTTAAATATTTATTTATTAATATAATTTAAAGCTTTTATATTTCTCTAGTGCCTTGAAAATAGTGTTAAGCTTTCAGTACCTCCTAAATGTGTCTGTTTAATGGTGGAGTTGAACTTAATAGCAGCGCTGGCAAGAGAAAAAATAATATTTGTTTTACTAAGTATCATTTGTGAACTGAAATGGATTAGTTTCATTTTCATTCCCAAGTATAAGAGTGATTAAACAGCTTATTCCTTCCTAGGTATCATAACAGTAGTGGATTCAAAATATGGATTAAAAGTAAGTAGATAAATTGCTATGAGTTCTAAAAGCTGGGAATATGGATGTTGATTATATCATTTTCTCATTTATATTTGTTTGAAATTTTTATTAACAAAAACTTTTTTTTAAGTATCCTGAATAATAAATGTATGTTTATAAACATTGGAAGTATAATAGTTCTAATAAGATGGAGGCAAGGTTCAGTTTGGGTATGCGTAACTCCTCACTAGGTTGTACCCTAATATTGATAAGTTTTGTTTGTTAGAGGAAATTGACATTGATAAAGTATATGACAGCTTTTGTTGTTGTTAAACTATCAGACACAAACTAGAGGTACAGAGTTTTAAAAAATTGTTACTTTATCTTGTTTTTGAAGAAATCTAGATACATGCATAGCATTGGTGAAGCAGGGAAACCCCATTAAATGCATCCTTCTGTTTTTGTAATTACTAAGGTCCCTAAATGTACTTAGATGAACTTCAGCTTATAAAATACCTTTAGTAAGAGCTTTAAAAACATAATGCTACAGTGAAAAATAGTGTTTCTCAATTTTCTAAGTGAAATATTAGTAAAGGCAGAAGAGAATGAGATTATCCAATTACCCACTCTCTTAAGCATGTTTTTTTTCTTTTAAATCTTCAATGAAAGTATCTTCTTGGAATATATGGCAAGCTTGTCACATGGATACCAGTACCCCATAACTACCCTCAGTTCCCCTGGGGATAGAGCATCCTCATTTGAGAAGGTGGGAGATAACTCCATTTTAGACTATTAAATCCATTTTTTTTGATAGTTTGAAGAATCCAAGAAAAATCCCAATTATTACAATTTTATTCAGAAAAAAAATCCAGTGACTTCTGAAATCATGGCATTTCTATCAGAATGTTTCCAGAGATAGGGAAAAAGGTGAAATTTTTTATTCTGAATGTTTATTACAGGCGTGTTGAATTAATTGCCTATATAAATTTATTACTAAATGTGGGATATCAATGAGATAGATAACATTTCATTTGTTTTTGTTTTTAGAACAGATTTAAAGTGTCATACCAAAAGGCAAACTTTATGTATAAGTATAGAAATGAATTTATGTGTATGAGTGTGAAGATTAGTTAAATAGAATATGTTATTTGTATGATAGAAGCCAAAAAAAGACAAAGCAACATTCTGAATAATGCAAACGCTGTAAACGTTTAACCCCCCGACACCTTGATAAAACCTCTTCAATTATTAAATCAATATACCTGCACAAAAACTGACATACTGTCAGGATAATGGAAACTTTAGATTTTCTAAGTCAGATGCCAGATAAATAACTTTTCCTTTATATAAAGATTTGCCAACTTGTCTATTTCCTCTGGTTGCAAAGCTTGACCTCAGTAGCTGCTTGTGATTTGGAGAATTCTGAGGCAGTACAAGTAATGACACTTGGATAATGGGCAGCAATTTAAGGGTGTCATGCTTCACAGAGCCAGCCCATCACAAGTAAAGCTGAGAAATGGAAGTCTGTGGCCAGCCAGCCAAATTGAAACTGAAGTGGTAATTGATATCATGGGCTATCACTCTAATAGGATTGTCACCCATTGATCTGAAATATTCATTTTTTAATCATGGGCAAAGAATTGGACAACTTCAAATGACAGCTCTCTATTCTCAGGACTTGACACCCAGGCTACTGACGTTGTTCTTTTCAGTTCTACAAATGTGACAGCATTTAATGCAATAGAATCGATGAATGAAGTTACACAAAAAAGGTCAAGTGAGAGGTTTCTTTTTGGTTCTTCTGTTATATTGCACAGGCTGTGAAATAATTGAGTAAGGAAAGAGTTTGGCTTGAAAAGGCCAGAAAAATAAATAGACTGGCATTATGCAATACTTTCTTTTTAAGCTAAAATAGTGTAAGATCTATAACTTACCTACTGAAAAATAAATAGCTGTTGTTTTTAAATGACAGCAGGCATTTTGACACTAGATTTATTTTCATTTCAGTCAGCAACAGTGTTAATTGCTTTATTTTGGCACAGTTAGTTTTGTTTCTGTAGAAAGGACACCCTATATTTAATCTTTACTGAAGTTATATTTACAATGGTGTTATTTCTTGTGTTATGCTAAATTGGAGGGTTGAACCTTAACCTTCTGAATGTGTTGAATTAATTAGTACCATAGTTATTTTTCTCTTTTTTGATTTATAAGCAAAAGCCACAATCTCTAGATATACATGAGAAATCCTTTAGGGATGTGTGTGTATATAAATAATTTTGAAAAAAGTTCCACTGCTTTGTCTAAACAGGTAGAAAACAACATAAAACTTTTCAGAGCTCATCTTGATTTTGGTCTTTTTGCAAAGTTGGCTTAGGGAAACAAGGAGTTGCATAAGTAAATGCTGTACTGATGTCTGGAGAAAATATTAGTTGCATTTACTATTTCTTTATGCTTGTATAGCTTTACATGCGTGTAAAACAGGACATTTATCTCTTTTGCTATAATTACATATGGGTACTATAAATAGTTTTTACTTTGGGGAATTTTAACATTTTTTTTTAATAGCTGATATTTCCTGTATCTCTGTAGATGGTAAAATGTTAATCTACACCCAGCTAGCTTTGTGGAAGATTTTTAAGTAATGTGAGTTTCTTAACTCCTGTTTTTATTAGTTCGATGTAGGTATAGGAATGCAAAAAGAACTCTCTAGTTTTCTTGCCATGCATTTTTGCACCCCACCAACTCACAAGCAGATAATCTTGTGTAAATAAGATAATGTTGTGTAAATATTTACATAATACATATGTAAATAAGGCATCCCGAAGACCTACATTACAATTTTGAAAAATAATTACAATTTTTAAAAGAATCTCACTATTACAGGATCAATTAGATGTAGATGGCTTGCTACAAATATATCCTTGTTAAGTTGATGTACTCCTGAATAGAAGGGGAGTTGTTGCTGAATGCTGTGCAGAATTTTGCAAGTAACAACCTCCATGTATTTATTTTAGCAAATAGGGGGTGTTAAGAAAAGATCTATTTAACAAATGTTTGTTGAGCTTGGGTGCCAAAAACTATTCCAGGGACTGTATTAGCCTTATTTTTGTTAGGACATAACAATAGGATTTGTTTTAACTTCAGGCCAAGAGTAATTAGCGAAGGTAGTTAACTTGGTCTTTTGGCAAGAATGAGTTTTTGGTTTTTTTTTTAAAGACTTATTTATTTGTGCATACAGAGCTGGAGTACAGGCCAGAGGCTCAGGGGCGGTGAGAGGCTTCACCAGAGACAGAGTGGGGAGCAGAACAGGCAGATCAACGAAGTACACTGCTGAGGGGAGCAGCGGGTGGGTCAGGAGAGGTCTGCCACGCCATGTGATCACCTCCGGGCAGGCGGGAATCGAACTCATGCGGAAGTGGCTTTTAGCTTCTCAGTGCTGTACTTTAACCCGCTGCGCCACCAGGGAGGGCCAAGAATGAGTTTTGATATGATTTTCTCTAAGTATTGTGACTTCCATAATTTCAAAATGGATCTGCTATTGAATTATAGGATTGTTTCTAAGTGCAGATCAGTATATCATTACAATAGTTATTCCCCTAAAATAGAATTTTTTTAGTACAATTTTTTTCTACAGAATTAAATCAAGTTATTACCAATAAACTCTTAGGTTTCAAACCATCCAAATGTCATCATGATCTACCTTCACGTGAATTGTGAAAGTGATTTTGTGAAATTATCGTGAATATAATTCTTAGGTAATCTTGTGCTTATGTGATACCTTTGTGTAACCATGTATTCAGGCCTTATATAACAAAAAAGGATTATTTAACTCTCTATAAGACTTAAATATGTTTATTTTACTGCTATTGAGCACATTTCCAGTTTTTTAAAGATAACCCCAGACGGTCTCCCCTCAGCACTTTCTAGCACTGCAGCCTGAGTCCCACCCTGCCAGGGAGATGACCCACTTGGCTCCACATGCCTCTCCCCTATCTTGCCGACTGTTTTCCCTCAGCAGTATATTCCAGTAGATCTGCCTGTTCTGCTCCCCACTCTGCTCACCTCCTTCACCACCTGTGGCCTACACCTCAGCTCTTGTATGCATAAATAATTTTCAAAAATAAATAAAGATAGTCCTATATATAATAGGATGTCCTCTTACAATAAACTTTTTTAGATTTAGTTTTTCCTTTGTAAAATGAGGAAAATGGCCATTTCACACAGTTGTTACAGAAGACTAATATATGAGACAGTGTACATAAAAGACATAATAACTTGTGAAATTTGACTCACTGTACTAGTCTTTAAACCTTAGCAGGCTTTTAATTGTGAGAGGGGACATATGTTGAAGGTTAAGGTAATGAAGTCAAACATGATTTTTCAGAGATGAACTTTATGGCATCGTTGACTTCTTAGGGATATAAATATGGAAAAATAAAAAATAGTAACTGCTTCCAGAGAGATGCAAACCACTTCATAGACCCCTATTGTTGTTTTGGACTCATCTTGACTCTGGAGAGACCATATCACGTAAATGTGAACTTCTAAATGATAAATTATTTTTAGGCATGAATTAAGACTGTATCTCTCCCACACTTTAATTTTTTTGGAGAATATTATGGCCCAATACTGAGTTCACATGAAATGTGAATCTGGGGTGGGGAGTGGGGCATGTGGACAAGGAACAGAAGGAAGTATATTCAATTTTAAGAGTATACTCTCAGTACTGAAAGCTTTTTTTAATAAGTAATAGTGAATAGGACAAGGACAGTTTTATAAATAGAAAAAAATGTCTAAAATCTGAACTATAATGTTCTTTTTTTACAAATTTTGTTTTTCTTTAGCATTTAACAGAAGAAAAACCTGATGGCCTTATCAATGAAGCTACTAGGTATTCATATTTAAAGTATATGTTGATTACCTGCTAACTGGAAAGAGAAAATTAATATGAAAACCAAAAATGAAATGAAAAAATATAAAAATATTAGTAAGGAATGTTTTTTAAGTTTTGTCCTATGGGTAATTTGAATTATTGCTAGCTAACTATTTATAGTAGTCTAATATATAAAAATTTTATTTTAAACCATTTCTGAGAATTTAGCTACACATTCTTTGAAATAATTGGTTATACCTCCAGGTAATATAATTCTTGAATTAGGAACAGTCTAGTAGTTTAATCTATTTTACAAAGATAACATATATTTGTAGTGATAAGAAAGACATTTGTTCTTTTTTTAAAAAAATAATATAATAGTTTATTTTTACATCATTTTATGCCTTTTTCCATCTCAATTGTAATCCCTGTGGGCTTCCCATCACCCAATCACCTGTGTGCCATCACCATAGTCCAGTGCATTTCCTCCCCCCTACTGTTTTTGATCCCATCCCCCTGTCCACCCCATAAAATGTCTCTGGTATATAGCTTTATTGTTATTTTCTCTCCTGGTCCATTATACTCCTGCTATGAGTGAAACCATCCGGTATTTTTCCTTTTTTTTCGGCTTATTTCACTAAGCATGATCTTTTCCAGCTCCATCCATGTTGCTGCAAAAGGCATGGTTTTTTTTTTTTGGTTGCTGAGTAATATTCCATTAGAAAGACTTGTTCTTGATCCTGACATGTTTACTGAACCATAGTTTTCCAAAACTGTTTAATGTAGTTTCATATTAGATGAATTTATTCTTTGTCTTTCTTTGGCAGTTTTATCCAAGGTGACTTGTTTCTACCCATATTGAATATCTGAATTTGATGTATTTCTTTATAAACAATTTAATAAGTTGAAAATCATCCTCTTGATTGCTTCATTTTTGAGGTTTATTTTTGCAGCTCCAGAGAGGCAAAAGAAAGTACTTTGTAAATTTTTTTTGAATGAATAATGGAAAATCTGAATTTATATAGTGATGAATACAATTCATTTTTACTATATGAAGGATACTAAGTAGATTGGGAATAAGTCAAGTCACCATATAGAGTATAATATGTTCATAGCTGCAGTTTAATGTGAATGAGGTATTTCTATTTATTTTTAATTTCTTAACATTTCTCCTTTCACATTTGTTCTTTGCTAATTTAGGCAAGTTGCTTTGGCAGATATCATCATCATCAATAAGACAGACTTGGTTCCAGAAGAAGATTTAAACAAATTAAGAGCAAACATTAGGTACAAAATTATGTGTTCAGTACCTACAAATCCAAAGCTTACTAAAGTAGTAGTCCTTATCTTGTTTAATTTTTCATCCACTTTTGCTTTGCCTAGTTTATTAATTAAGCTTATCATAGTTGTATCTGTATAAGAAAAAACAGTATCTATAAGGTTCCATAGTATCCACAGCTTGAGGCATTCACTGGGGGGGTCTTGGAATATATACTTACAGCAGATGGGGACAGTTATACACAAAATATCTTTACATATAGATAATTAAGTTTCAAGGCTTATCTACTTCAAATAGTATCAGGAAATCACATATATTTGTTGCCTAATTGGTTGTCACATAAATAGTAATATGTAGTATTTCCTGTTTCTCACAGAATATAGTTAAAAGGTGATAAATGATAAGGTCTTCGCTCTCCATCCTTTTCCTTTTTTCTCTTTGACTCTTTGCAATGTGATTCTTCCCTAACTTTATTTAGAATTATTTACTTACTTTCCCATTGATGTGTTTTGCAAATCTTTTCTTTACTCATGATGTCTTCTCACTCTCACTCTGGAATCCTTGAATTCCTTTATTATCTCTGATTCCCCGCCCCCCCCTAGAAATTTTATCCTTTTTCTCGAGCCTACTTTCCAACATTTTTCTCCCCATCTCCTCTGTGAAGTCTTTCCGACAGAGGAAGACTCACTTGTCCCTGAATTCTCATTGACTTGATGTCTTCCTTAACTGTCAGCTAGCTATGCCTGTCTATCAGCTTGTTTTAATGTCTCCAGTGTCCATGACCAAGGCTAACCAATATAGGACAATGTGATTGATATTTAAATATAAGTTCAAAGATTTGATTGAGTGGTTGTGTGGATTTTTCAAATGAAGTTAGAGTTTAGGGACTTTGTTTTGAATTGTAATTGTTTTTTAAGACCTAAACTACTTAATGTCATGATGCAAAGACATATTCAATGACTTTCATAATACAAAGACATATTCAGTGACTTTTAGTAGTAGTAATAGTAGTATTTAATGGCTATAGAGTCTTGTGTGTAATGGCTTGAAATGATCTTTTATAGTATTTATAACTTCTGCTGATATCAGGTTTTGAATTTGGTATAAATTGAATAAAAATGGTAAAGCTTATTGAGATTTGGCTGCAATGATTAATGATTCTGGAAGAAAGAAATTTTTTTCAATGTATTTTAATAGTAACATAGCTCAGACTTTACTATTAAAAAATCTAATAGTGTCTCCATAATTTTTACAATATGTGCTGAGAATAAATTAAGTATCAGTAGAAGTTTAATCCACTCATTTGAAGAAAATTAGAATTGTTGTCTACTTTAATTTTCTACTTTAATTTTTTTTCCAAAGTGAAGGATCTTTTTATAAATCACAAAGTAGTCCCCAGTTTGTCAGTTGTCTAATAAGTGTTTATATATATTTTTTGTTTTGATTTCTAAATGGACACTCTATTTATGATTTAAAGAGTAAACTACTAAAAATATGTTTTCTTTTTCTTTTTCTTCTTCTAGCTTCAGCTATATTTGTGTATGCCTACTTCCTGTTTAGAAATAATGTGTCTTGTGTACTTTTTAAAAAATCTAACATATATTCTTTGACCTTTTCTTCCTCATTTTTTAACATAGATCAATAAATGGACTGGGAAAAATTTTAGAAACACAAAGATCAAGGTACTTTTAAAAACTTTTACTATTAATAATAAATTAGTTATTAATTATTAAGTATTGATAAATTCTGATTCTAAGATAAGAAATATCCAGGTACAGTTTTGAAAAATGGGGTGTGAAAATATTTTGAATTAGTTTGTCATGTTTAATTAACATATTTCTGGTAACTAAAAATACAGTTGTAACATTGTTTAACAGTATTTTTGGTTAACAAAGAAAAAACAGGACTTTCAAGGAAGTAGTATAGAAATCTATCAGGTTTGCTATTAAGAATCTTATTTTGAGATATTTAAATAGCTCTTTAATGTTTCATAGTTGTAGAAACAAATGTCATAAAAATACATGAAACCCTTACCTTTAGGTTTTTTAAGTGTTTTTTTTTTTGTTTGTATTTATTTTCTGTAGGTTCTTCGACTTTTATTTTGTGCATTGCTTTAACAATAGATGGGCTCTTTAGGCATCTGTAAAATAGAATTCTTAAATGTTATTATGATTTCAAAAACTTTTTGTACAGGGATATTTTGTTAAGCTTGTTTTTTTAGCAACAAAGGCTCAGCAGCTGATAGACCCAGGAATATGCAGCCAACAGTCTGACTCCAAGTCCTAGCCAGTCCCTAGATCAGAAATTCTTTCCTTGGAAATGCAGCAAAGGTCTTGGCTGGGTGGCTTCTCTGTTCTGACAGAGATTAGAGGTGCTGACAGACTACCAGAAGTGTTAGGCAGTAACAGCAACAGCTGTTTATATGCATGTGAACAGCTGGGGAATTAAGTGAGTGTGCATTCTCTAAAACCTCTCATCTGCTGGCAGAGGTAGTAGAATGCCCTTAGTGTGAGTCCTTTGCAAGCATACACCAGATGTGCTCCCTGCATTTTCAAATTCCATCATAGAAAATCTCTGGGAACTATAGTTCTTATCTCAAGACTGTCCGCTTTTGTCTATGCAGGCATCTCTCTTAACAAACCATTTCCTTTCAAAAGCAGCAACAGCTGCAACAACCATTCTCTGGCAACCTGGCAACCTGTGTCTGTACCTGTGCCTTTTTTCCTTTCTACTTTGCCTAATAAACCTGTCCTTTTAAAATGAAAATAAATAAATAAATAAATCTCTAAAAACCAAACTAATACCATGAACCATTACTATAGCATTTTACTGTTTCCTTTTCCTGTAATTCTTTTCTTTACAGAATGACACATAACCATATAATGCTTAAATAAGCTTTTAGAAATCATTTTCATAAATAGCAATGCCTTTGTTGGAATAGCATTTATTTGATAATATATTTTAAACTATCTTGAATTGATTTGTTTAAAGTCCTTGGATTTTTCTTGATTAGCTTTTCTTATTGATTTTAATTTTGGAACTGTCTATATCCTGCTTAAAGATTTCTATTTTGGATAGTTTATTTTGTAACAATTTTGATTTTTTTTTGGGGGGGGTGGTAATGGCATTTCTAACACTTCTATTTGTTCTATTATGGAGCAGTAAATATGCAGTGATCAAATTTTGTTACGTCAAATGGAGGAAAAAGTAAATAAAATTCCCCTTCCATTTCTTCAGAGTTTGGTGTTTGTCAGCACATCTGAGAATCAGGGACTTCCTGAATTAGTACTTGCTTGCTATGAGGACTGAAGTTGGATTATCCTTTTTAGTGAAGCTCAGACCAAGTAAGAATTCTTACTATTGGGTCATGGATCTTACATTAAATCATCCCCAAAATTCCTTCAGGTATAGCAGCTAAAACATTTGAGATTATAAACTAGAGTTCTGATTTTTAACAAAATAAATCACTCTGATAGAAATTTTATTTTTAAAACTTTTATTCTCTTAAATATTTTTTTAATTGACAAAGGCTGACATAGTAAAACTGCTGTGAACATGTGTAAAAAGTTTTACCTTGAGTATGTAAGATTAGTTAAGGAGTAAGAATGGGGTATAGTGTTGTCTTATTGGTAAGATTGAAGCTGATTTTGAGGCAAATGAAAGTTTAATGAACCATGTAGACTTCAGAAGTAGGAGTGGAAGATTAGAAGTAACATAGTTAGTTTTTCCTGTGTGTGTATGTGTGTGCACTTAGAGATTTAAGTGAACTGAAATAGTAAGTCAAACCAATTCAACAAACTATTTCTTGACCATTCTACAGTTGCTAAGTATGTCATGACATTGAGGATTTGAGCAATGACTAAGCCAAAAACTCCACAGTTAAGGAGATCAGTTGTGTGAGGGAAACAAGCAAATAAGTAAAGCCCAATATATTCTATATTTTTAACGCAACAGATATGCATAGGTTCCTATAAGAGAAGGAAGGCAGAAGAACAACTACTCAACTCTTGAAGAGTCATAAGATTTTGACAGAGAAGGTGATCATTGACCTGAGTCTTGAAGAGGGAGTAAGAGTTTACCAGATAGGTTAGGGTATGGGTGATTTTCCAGGTCTAAGGAAGATTTTATATTACAGGAAACTGAATATTTTAGAATGACTATCATACATGTAGGCAACAAGGAGTTATGAAGGATTTAAAAAGCAGTATGACTTTTTAGAGATGGATTGTGTGTAGTATGATTTCTCTGAGTTAAAAAAATAAGGGAAAGAGGAGCACCCATGGGGTAGGGTGGTGGTAGAATTGGGTTTGATAAAGGTGTTCAGTTCAGTTTTGCAGACATTGAGTTTGATGTATCCCTGTTGTTTTTATAGTTTAAGGCAATTGACCTGAGTTTTAAAATTTACACAGTTGGACGTCTAAGTCTCTAAAACTTTAAGCTATTTCCTTACAGTAAAGGCAATAAACTTGGGGGGAAACTTCATTCATCACCTGTTTGCCTGTGAATGTGAAAAAGGAAATATATTTCATGTTAAGATATTGATCTCATGTAAATTGATATTTAGCAATTTCTTCATGGAACATAAACTTAATTGCTTGATCATTTTTCTTAATTCTCCTCATCTAGAATGTCCAGAGTTTGAAATGTTGTTACAGTATGTTAACATACAACTTTGGAGTATTCTTCTTTTAATAAGATGAAAATGTGTCTGCCTTGTGCCAGCATAAGTAATAATCTTAACAAAATTTTTTTTTGCCACAAGTATAAATATTTGGCAGACTGCTAAGAATGAGCAAAGCAGGCACAGCTGGTCAGTCCTAAGTTAAAGGAGGTGATTTAACTTCATGTTTTTTGAATTTTATAAGTTTTGAATTTGACAAACTCGTTTTTCTTTGTTTCTATAGTTTAATTTTGAAATTATATCTGTATTGTTTATATCGTTTTTCTTTAACCATTACTTTACCTTTGATTGTAAGGAAATCACTGTCTTCAATTTAATAGGCTTGAGCAAAAATTAACACTCAATCATTGGTCTTCATAAATTCATTTTTATATATTTAAATGAGATATAATGTAAGTTATGATATGATAGTCTCTTCTGATTTGAATCATTACTTTCCTTAATAAAACCTAGTTACATTAAGTAATTCTAACAGATACAATATTTATGCACATAGAGCACAGACATTTCAAGCTATGTGAAATCCATTCTGAAGGAAATAAAATCAAGTTACATCTTTTAGATGGGGATAAGAATCCTAGAGTAAATATATATTATTTGATTGCTTGACTCCTCATAATTTTATAAATTTACTTGTTATATCATGGAAATGAGGCAAATAAAAGAAACAAAATTTTGCCAAAGATACCTCAGAGACAACATGTATCCTCCGAGGGCAGGGGTAAGATGTGAAATTAATTGATAGTCTACGAATGGAATGTCTTCTCACAACTTGAACATAAAATGCCCAGCCATTGGGCATCACTTCCAGACTTCTTTCATGGAGAAATTTAATAACTCCCATTTATCTGGTATCTGAAGACTAGCCAGTAGAAGCAAACTGCCTATCTAGTAACTTAAAGCAATGTTCGTCAGTTCTAAAGCTCATCCTATCATATATCTCCAGTCAGCTTTTTCTTGCAACTCATTCTTAAATAAGAACCAGTGGTATTGTCAAACATTTGAGAAAAATGTTCACCATAAAAAGTGACTAGAAAAAAATAATAAATGACCCCAGAGAACATAGAAGAAAAATAGGTAATTAAAATCTTCAGAGAGAGACATAAAAGCTACTGAATCTGTAAAACAAAAATATGTTGCTATGAATAAAGCAGTTAGAGATAAGTACTCTTGGAAAATAAAATATATGTTGGACCAATATAAAACAAAGTAAAGGAGTTCGAAAATTAACTTCAGTAATTCTCCCAGAGAGTAGGATAAAAACAAAGAGACATAGCTTATGAATGAAAATATAAAAACAATCTGGGAGTTCCATTGCAACCTTAGGCAGCACTGCTGACATGCTTATGACCTGGAAATGTGAGAGCCTTACAGCCCGTGGAGCAATCTTCAGCCAGCAGAAGCTGGAGCCCATGAATAAATGTGCTCATTGTTTCAGGGCAAACAATTTCTTGATGATTCCCATGTGGTTTCCAAAAAAGGTCTTAGTGGGATGAAAGCCCACTAGAAGTGTGTATAGTGGTGATGAGATACACATCCTTAGATGGGTTTTCCCTTCCTCTTTCACACGTCCCAGTTCCCTACCCCTAATCTGGGATCACGTCATAGAATAACTTGGCACCTAAAAAAATTCCAATGGTAATGCTCCTATATACTACGGTGTTTTGTTTTGTTTTTTTTCCCATTTGTCCCCTTTCCTCATTTCATTTTTTTTGCCCAAGTTTTATAACAATCTGTCATTTTTTTATTTACATAGATTTTACATCATTGGTCTTTTTTTGTTTGCTTTTCTCAGATGCTCATTTCATTTTTGAATAATTAATTGCTTTAAAAATGTTCAGGGTTTTTTGTTTGCTTTTTGGTATAAGAATTTATTTGAGGGCCCTCCCTGGTGGTGCAGTGGGTTAAAGCACAGCACTATGAAGCTACTGAAGCCACTGCAACACAAGTTCAATCCCCTGCCAGGGAGAGTGACCCACAAGGCGAGACAGACCTTGCCTAACCTGCCCGCTGCTCCCTCCGCAGTGTATTTCAGTCAGTCTGCCTGTTTTGTTCCCTACTCTTTCTCTGGTGAGTCCTCTCACCACTCCTGCACCTTTGGCCTGTACCCTAGTTCTGTATGTGTAAATAAATAAATCTTTAAAAAGAAAATTTATTTGAAAAGATTATAAGTTTTCAGAATTGACAAGACAATTGAAAGTAAAACAACTGTGGCTTGTTGAAGCAGAATAACCAGTAATTTTGCCTGATCTTATACCAAAATACCCATTCTTAAGCCTAATGTATAATTCTTTAAAAATAATTTTTCCAAACAACCTGTTTAGTACTTGCCTGTCATTTTTATGTGTTTCCCCAAATTGTATAATATGCTCATTAATCTTCATATCTACAATTTTGGCAGAAGTGTCTAGTTTTTTTTTTTTTTGTGATTGATTTTATTTCACAAATTTTCACACTATTTATTGTTTTTTTTTCCAATAGAGTTGATCTCTCCAATGTATTAGATCTTCACGCCTTTGACAGTCTTTCTGGAGTAAGGTATGTTTCCTGTATTTTGATCAATTTTTACTGTAACTTGCCTTTTATTCCACAGTTAGGAGTGTACATGAATGGTTTACCTAGCTGCATACTTGACTTAAATTTCTTACTAGACCTTTCCTGAGTATGTTCTTAAAAATTTTGTCGATTGAATGTTTAGAAATCACAATGAATAATGAGAAATCATAATTCCTATAGAAATTATATACAAATGGTAGCTCAATTTAGAGACAATTTGTTAGTATTTCCAAACCAAACGTGTGTGTAGTTGTTTCTATAAGAAAGTGCATGAAATGCACTGAAAAACAGCCAGGATGTTCCTATAGACACCTCCATTCTCTACTGATGGATCAGTTGTCTGCCTATTTTCCTGGGGGAATCTTTGCTAAAGGAGAGAAGGAGCATACCTTTCTTTCTTAGACATCAGTATCTTTTTTTTTTTTTTTTTTCGTAATCATCTTAACTATTTTTGGGTTTACATTTCATTTTGTTGAGCAGCGGCTTTACAGAACTTTTTCATCTTGCAAAACAAGTATCTGTTTTCCCCTCCCCACAGCTCATGGCAACCAATACTATACTGTCTTTTTCTATGAATTTGACTAGTTTAGATAATTCATGTAGTTTTACAGTATTTTATTTCATTCTGTCCTCAGGATTCATCCATGTTGCAACATGTGTCAGGATTTCACTTCCTTTTTAAGGCTAAATAATATTCCCCTGTGTGTTCCACAGTTTATATATTCATCCATTGATGAACATTCAGCTTGTGCCCACCTCTTATCTATAATGAATAATATCACTATGTGTGTCTAGGTGCAGATACCTCTTGGGGTCCTGCTTTCAATTCTTTTGGATATATTCCCAGAAATACTGGATGATATAATTCTATTTTTAGTGGAACCATTCTATTTTTCATAGCAGCTGCACCATTTTACATTCCCACCAAGTGTGCAAGGGTTCCAATTTCTCCATGTCCTCTCTACCACTTGCTACTTTCTGTTGCTTTTGTTAGCAGCTGCCCTAATGAGTATGAAGTGGTTTTGATTTGCATTTCTCTAATACTTAGAGACATTATCACTTTTTTCAAATGTTTTTTTGGCCATTTGTGTGTTAGCTTTGAAGAAATGTCTATTCAGAGACTTTACCCATTTTATAATTGAGTTATTTGGCTTTTGTTGTGACTGAATTGGAGGGTTTTTTTTTTTTTCTGTATTCTTAGTATTAAACCCTTAGCAGATATACATGATTAGCAAATATTTTCTTCCATTTCCTCTGAAGTAGATGAATCATAAAACCTTTCCTATATATGACAGGTATCCTTCCTGTACCCAGACGACAGGAAGGATACCTTTATCTCTAAAGATAGGAACACAGAGAAATCTGCAGGAATAGATCTTACAGTTTTTCTTAGTTTAGTTCTTGGCTCTTAATCTGTCATCTCCTTCCATGACTTTTCTACTCTGCCTTAAACCTAGCGTTAAAACACTCCAATTTAACCCTTTTTATTGGGTCTTCATGTCCTTGTGAAGACTGCTGTGTCATTTTTTAAAGCTTAAATAAATTTCTATGCTTCTGTCCTGTTAATATGGTTTTGTCAGTTTAATTTTCAGCCCTAAGGAGGTTAGACATTCTAGGAGGTTAAAAGAAAACTTTCTTGTTTGAGTGAAGGGTAGTTACTATCCAACAATATGAAATGTTGAACATGGGGGAAGCATATGGTATTTCAAACTTATTTCCTTAGATAATCTTTTTCCACACTTGCTTAAGAGCAGTTGTAATCAGTAGTGACTTTTAAAGAAGTAGTTATTTAATGTGATTGCCCACTGTAGATTAGGGCTTTGTATAACTTTTCATTGTACTCAGTTGGTAAACAGGAGAATCCTTTTCTGAGCAACCAGCTGGGAAGGATTTAATTTGACACTTTCCCTATTAAGACCCCCCAATGAGACTCATTCCCTCAAATAGTTCCTACAAGCCTTTTCTCTTTCCTAAACATGGTGTTACTAATTTACCCCTCACTGTTTTTCAAAAACATCTGCTGCAGGGTTTTAAGTCCTTTCCTCCTCCTATTGTACCCAAACCAGTAACTGAAAGTATGCTACAGTTGTTATGGCTATAATTTGTATGCCATATTGATCTTGCTCTTTTCATATCAGAACAGTGCTTAAGATCCTAACTTGTTGTATTCTCTCAACTACTGGTAACTTATTATATAGAAGGCACTATGGAAATTGTTTTTTCATTAGTTAGATATACTCAAGAGAAAGTACTTATAAAAGAAAATTTAAACTTATGACTTTCTCTAGCTACCAGCGTTATTTTTATTTGAGGAAGCATGGGGAGAGTTGATGAAATTTTGAGCAATAATAAAATCTTTACATATATTTTTTAGGCCTATATTATATGTATTGGAATGAAAAAGAAACCTGTTCTCTTAGCCATAAAATAGTGTTATTATTATTTTTATCTATATTATGTACAAGTTATGTGACTGTTCATTTTTAAGATAAGTTAAGAAAGCTATCTGTGGATACTTTTCTCTATTAGAATATGTAAGCAGTGTATAAAATTGGAGCTATAGTAAACGTTAACTGTTGAAAGCATCTTCTTTAGTTTTGTATCTTAAGTGATGAATAAAGTTAAAGTCAAAAGTGTTTGCTCTCTGAATTTAAAATTGTTCATAGTTTACAGAAGAAACTTCAACAAGTACCAACAACACAACCTCACATTGATCAGGTAAAAATCATCTTCAAACGTGTCTTTTAAATTATCTCTTTAATTAAATTGATTCTGTTTAAGACTTTTGATAACTCAGAAGAAGTAATTTTGAATTATGCAAAGCTAACACTTTTTAGAATGTGAATTCTTTTGAGGTTTTCTAATCTAGTTTCTTAATGCATGATAGAGATTCATCAAACTGGGGTTATGTAAGATCTTAAATCATGCGTTCTTGTTAACTGCATTCTTTAGATCATTCAGCATATTTTGATGCATTCTTCTGATAGGAATTATTGGTTAAAAGCTGCCTGGGGAATCTATATGCATTTCATTTTTTTAAAAAACTGTATTACATGAACAACATGATTAAGAAAAGCATCTCAAGTATATTAAAATAAAATTTGACTTGGAGCTTCACCTTCAGTTAACATTGTAAATTTGAACTCCTATAGAATTGTTTAATAAAGTAAGGGTTTTTTCATGCTTTAAAACTCTTAATTCCTGAGTAAATATTCAAGATGCTTAAACAAATTATAGATTTCACTATACCCATCTTTCTTTTATATAGATTGCTTTTGGTATTATTTTAGCATAACTTCTTGTTGTATGTGAGTGTGTAGTGTCCACTGTCCTCTCTTCTCTGTCTTGGAACTATCACTCACTTTAAAATCATTATGAATTACAGTAGGTATAGGGTAACAGCAGCTACTTTTTTGTCTTCTTTTTAGCTCATATTTATGGGGACCTATAGCACCATGATATCAAACATAATAGCATATTTGTGGCATTTTTCCCTGAGAAATTTATCTTAATAGATTATTTATCTTTACTTATATTTAAAATGATTAAATGAGAGAAATACATAAATATGGGAGAAAATGAACTATTTACAATATTCAATATTAGTCATAAAAATGATCTTGAAATACATTTTAGTTGTCTTCTGGATAAAGGACATCATACTATCAGTTGTAAGGATTGAAGATGAACAATACACAGTATATCCTATCAAGAACCTTGTAATGGTTCTTGAATATACCCCTATTATAACATTTATAAAGCCTTATAGTTTGAGTTAAAATGCTTTTTCCTTGCATGGTCTGTAAATTCCTTAAATGTAAAAAATGTCAATTCTTCATTACTTAAACAGGGCTTGGAACATGCTAGGTTCTCAGTGAATATTTGTTAAAAAAATAAAAAACTGTGATTCTGAAATGGGGTATATATCAGAATCACTTGCAGAGCTTTCAAAAAGGAGTTGGGCACTCAGTAGTTCCCAACCCTCTCATTTTTAGGAGTGGGATTTGGGTATATACATGTTCACACATGTTTTCAACATTTTATTATGCTATAAACTCCCCCATGCTATCTCAAAGTAGAAAGTTTCTGTTATGGTGTGATTTGGTAAGTTACTTTCTTTGATCTAGGAATGCTCAAGAAATTTTCATATAAATAAATAGTAACGGTATTACTAAAAAATAACCTACCAAATCATATCAAAAAGAAAGTTTTCTTTAGGAAAGCATTATTTTTATTGCTAGAGTAATTTTTTTTTTTTTTAATAAAAAATTTTGGGGCCCTCCCTGGTGGCTCAGCGTGTTAAAGCACACTAAGAAGCTCAAGCCATTTCAGCATGAGTTTGCTTCCCAGCCCCAGAGGTGACCCACATGGCACAGCAGACCTCTCCTGACCCACCTGCTGCTCCCCTCCCTCAGCAGTGTACTTTGTCATTCGCCTGTTCTGCTTCCCACTCTGTCTCTGGTGAAGCCTCTCACTGCCCCTGCACCTCTGGCCTGTACCCTAGTGCATAAACAAATGCATAACAAATAAATCTTTTTAAAAAAATTAAAAATTTCAAATGTACATAAAAGTAAAAAGGTATATGAACTCATGTACCCATCAACCTTACAGGATTGTATTCAAGCAAATCCTAGACATTGTCATTTACCAGTAAATAGGTCATGTCTTTATTTATTTATTTACTATACCATCATACTCATTTATAGGCCTTTTTCTCCCCTTGACTTGTTTGGTCAGAGATAAGCTGAATCTTTCCTTTTTATTTATATTTTTCAAAAGAACAGAATTATACTTTATCTTTTTTTTTATGTATGAAATGATAATAATCCTCTTTATGGGATTATAATCATGAGAAAATGAAAAGAGGAAATGACCAAAGAAAATGTACCTGGATTAGTGTATGGTCAACACACTGTGTACTCTCTCTTTTACTGCTGAGAATACTGGCAAGAATGAATAAAATGATGAGAGTTTCTCCATTTAAATACTAAGTCGATCAACTCTACAGCAGAAAATGGAGTTGCTGATATTAGGAATTAGCAACTATAGTGAAAAAGATAGATCTAATAAATATTGTTATGCAGCATAAATTTGCATGTGTTCCTTTTTATCTTAAAACTTGTATTTTTTAAAATATATTGATATTACAATTTTTAAAAATCACCATTGAATATCTCTCTTGATTTGCAGAGTATTGTTACAGTTACATTTGAAGTACCAGGAAATGCAAAGGAAGAAAGTCTAAATGTATTTATTCAGGTGAATTCAATGAATTATGATTTATCACCTGTTTTGTTATGCAGTTGTAGCTATTATTAATAGTTGGTCTTATTAAACTATGTCATATGTCACTTGGTACAGAATCTTCTGTGGGAAAAGAGTGTGAGAAACAAGGATGATGACTGCATGGAGGTCATACGACTAAAGGTACAGTATTATATTTAAAAGTATGAAAGTATACTGTGGTGATGGCACATGGGTGACTTGGTGATAGGAAACCCATGGGGATTACAATTGAGATGAAAAAAAAGTACAAAATGATTAATAAATAAATAAATAATAAAAAATAAAAATAGGGCCCTCCCTGGTGGTGCAGCGGGTTGGAGCACTGCACTGAGAAGCTAAAGCCACTTCCGCATGAGTTCGATTCCCGCCTGCCCCGGAGGTGACCACATGGCGTGGCAGACCTCTCCTGACCCGCCTGCTGCTCCCCTCAGCAGTGTACTTCATCGATCTGCCTGTTCTGCCCCCCACTCTGTCTCTGGTGAAGCCTCTTACCACCCCCGAGCCTCTGACCTGTACCCCAGTTCTGTATGTACAATAAATAAATCTTTAAAAAAAAAAAAAAGTATGAAAGTATACAGTTTTATACTTTTCAACAAGATGTTTCTTTGACCACTATATAAAATCATAGTTGGCTTTAAATAGAAGTACTGGTTTTAGTATAAATAAACTTTGTCTATTTTCATATTTCCATTACTGAAAAGAAGTTTTGAAAGTCACTACATAAAACATGATTTATTTGTGCAACTTCATTTAGAATGTTGTAGCTCAAACAGCTTGTGATTGAAATGTTGGCTCATGTTCCCAGGTGTTCTGAGCAGACTAGCCGGTTTGACTCATTCACACTCTTTTGTCTGTTGGCACACACAGGTTGGTTAGTTAGAAAAAACTTTATTTTTCCAAGGAAGTTTCATTATTGGAAAGTTAATATTAGAAATCTTGCTGTAATTGAATTTGATGCTTCTTGATGCATTTGACAAATGCTAAGCATTTGTCATCTTGTAACCAAAGTCACAAAGTACTAGAAGTATTCTTTCTCTGTGTTTGGAAATTCATTCATTTTTCTTTATGTTTGGGTTTTTATGTCATGAAAAGGTTTTCTCCAGGGGATAATGGTTCTAGGTTGTCTGTTTAAACAACAAGCAATTATTTGAGTTTACCCTAGTATCTCCAGAGTGTGTGTAAAATTTTTATTATACTCGTTATTTCTGTTATTAAGTAGATTCTCCATTTATCAATGACTTCTTGGTATCACTGGAATGACAGAGGATGAGACTATCCAGAAACTATTTAGGTTTTTCCTGTGCTGGTCTACTGGGATTAGCACTGCCGAGCAACACGGGTGAATCCCAGTCTATTCCAGATCATTCTACTACTTAATGACTTAGCTCCATGTTTATTCCATAATTGTAACTGCCAGAGCACAATACATACTTAATTGCTTTGAACAATCCCCTGCTGTTTAATTGAGGGAAAGGGGGTTATGTGTTACTTCGATAACCAGTTATTCAAGCATTCATATTAGTAGTGACCTAGATCATTTCAGAGTTCACTGGTTTGTCCTTCATCACCACACGTTTGGTTAGTCCTTATGTATATTGCAGTTTTTCTGAGTTGTCATTGTTGATTTTCCTTTTGGCATTCCTCTCATCACACCCATACTGGTGAATCCTGTGACAGTACAAAGTATTAGTCTAATAACAATATGTTTAAAATGTTGACTCCCATAGCAGCCAATGCTTCAAAGTCTAATACTTGAACACAGAATTGATGCTTGGGTTATTCTTTCCAAGGAGTGTGTCATTACATACTAAAATAAAATTTAGGAAGCAAAAAACAATCAAATCATTATATTATATACCTTAAACTAATGCAGTGTTTTATATATATATATATATATATATATATATATCATTTGAATCTCAAAAATGGAGGAAAAAAGCAAAAAACAAAACTCAAACAGGAAAGAAAAACTGAAAGAACACACCCAAACATATGATTATACCAGAAATGAACAAAAATTGTGCTTTGGGAATAACTATAAGTGTTTTTTCTCTTACTGTTTCTTATTATACATATTATAATAAGTATGTATAACAAGCATTTCAGAGAAAACATTTTATCCCTACAGGCGACAGTTTATCAAGTAATATATTTCTCATTTCTGCAGATCAATATAAAATGAACTTATATCCAGATAAACATAATAGTTCTTCTTTCCTTTACCATATTCATTAACTGCAACCCAATTAAAAACAAACAAAAATTTTTTTTTTAAGATTTATTTATTTATGCGTACAGAACTGAGGTACAGTGACATCCAGCCCTCCCTGGTGGCGCAGTGGGTTAAAGCACAGCACTGAGAAGCTAAAGCCACTTCAGCAATGAGTTCAATCCCAGCGCACCAGAGGTGATCCACCTGCCGCAGCAGACCTCTCCTGACCCACCCACTACTCCCCTCAGTGGTATACTTTGTCATTTGGCCTGTTCTGCTCCCCACTCTTTGTCTGGTGAATCCTCTCACTGCCCCTGCACCTCTGGCCTGTACCCCAGTTCTGTATGCATAACTAAATAAATCTTTTTAAAGAATAGTCTTATTCATTATAACAGTTTATATAAACTGCATATTGAAACAATTTTAAATATATCTTCAAGAGCTGCAGTCACCCTACAGCTGTTGGTGCCCTTACAGATTCACATAACCCTGTCCCAGGATCTGTCATTTCTGGCTCGCAGATGCACACCAAAAGCTAGAAGTTAAACAGCAATTCTTGCTCACAGTTCTGGAGGTTGGGGTTTGGGGCTGTGGGAGCCAGATGTTGGACATTGGAGAGGAGTTTCTACCCAGCTCAGAGATGCCACATTTCCTCTGTAACCATGTGGCAGAGTGGGAATGACTGTCCTCCTATGAAGCCACTGACCCCAATCAGGAGGCCCCACCCCACTACCCTGATCCCCTTCCCACGTCATCCATCTGAGATGCTCTTGTACTGAGGGTCATGTAAATAGCAGACAGACTACAGAGCTGGCAGTTGTGGGGCACAGCTTTTAGGTGGGGCCTGGCTGCTCAGAGTGGACACCTGACCTCCCTCCCTCTCTCTCAAGAATCGAGATGTGCCATTGGTCTGCCCCCTCCTCCTGCCACTGATAGTCATTCCTTCCCTTTTGTGTCAAGGTGTGTGTCATCTTACTCTTTGTGCTCCATTTCTACATGTCCTTTGGACATGTGCTCTGGATTTTCTTTTACAGTGTGCTCTTACTTGAATGGTTCACATCCTTTTGTTTTATTCTGTTGGCAGTTACTCTAGTTTCATTATCAGAATAGTAACACCTGATTTCTTCTTTCTCTAGGACAAAAATATTTTTCAAATAATAGAAACTTTAGGAAACTTTTTCTTTAATGCACAATTAACTGGATTTAAGTAATTTCAACAGTATCTCCTTTATGAATTTGTATTTTATAAGAATAATTAATCCATTAACTTTGATACTCGATTTCTGCTTTTAAATTTGAACCAAGACCACATTGATCATTCTCTTTTGAGTAGGGACTGGTGTCAATCAAAGACAAAGCACAGCAAGTAATTATCCAAGGTGTCCATGAGCTGTATGATCTGGAGGAGACTCCAGTGAGCTGGAAAGATGACACTGAAAGAACGAATCGATTGGTTCTTATTGGTAAGTGACAGTTAAAATAGCAAAGTGAAAAAATTATTTAAAGAGGTACAATAAACATTATTCATCAGGCCCTCCCTGGTGGCGCAGCGGGTTAAAGCACAGCACTGAGAATCTAAAGCCGCTTCTGCATGAGTTCGATTCCCGCCTGCCCCGGAGGTGAC